AATTAAGCCCTAATCCCATCCCACCCCATCCCTCCAACCAAAAGGGGCCACAATTAAGTTCGAAGTCAAAACGCATTACTAAAATTGAAACGACATTTAACATTTAAGATTAAAAAATTATCACCCACATACAAAGTTAACAATAATATAGTATTTGACCAATAATACGAATCTTGTATGGTTGTGACATCGCTAGCAAACAAACAAAACACACATCACATTAATTATGAAGAAATTAATTAATTTCATAATGTTGGTGGGTTTTTTAATTGTCCTTTGCAAAACAATTCTGCAAAAACCATGATTTTGTCTGCAATATTTTATATTATTATTATTATGTGCTCTATGCATGATTATGTTTTAATTTTAACATATTGATGTGTGTAGAAAGCATATTATAGGTCGGTAGAGATTAATATAATAAGTTCAAATTACGAAAAACTTCTCGTGTTTGAATAATCACAATCAGCCGTCTCAATTATTTATTATTCTTACTAATAAATTCAATAGGTAACTTTGACACTATAGAAGGAGACATTTACGACAATATATCTTTGAAAGGTAGTTATAAAGAAAGAAGAATTTTTTTTGTAATTTAACGTACCTTAGAGTTCGATTGTATTTTGTCGGTATAATTAATAAAGTAGTTTGATGTGATTATATTATATATACATAAAATTATTTATATATCATGTAATGTCATGATCATGGGATTGTCATGACATATCTTGTCCGGATAACAGTTTGTCAAGAAAATTACATTTAATTATCGAAAAGTACACTTACAATATTTATGTTCTTTCAAATTTTATACTACAAGTGAATGAAAATTAGAATTTTCGATTTTGGTCGATTCCAGTAAAAAATATCTGATTTTGGGATCATACCTTTTTTTATCATTACAAATATCCAACAACTTATTTTTTGAATTTAAAAAAATTAAAAAAGAATTACATAAAACACATTGGAAGGAAGAACTTATAAGCTCGTAAATTTCTTATTATAAACTTTTTTTTATCAACTTATAAATCTAACCAAACATAAGTCGTTCAAATATGTTAAAAAATAAAAAAAAAAGTTAGGTCGATAAGTTCAGACAAGTTGACACGAAGATTAAAAGTGGTGTGGGGTTGAGGAACCATGAAAGATTAGTAATGGAAACATGAGATGATTAAACTAATAGTATAATATAGTTAATTAATTCTTACTTAGTGCTGGATTAGGACAAAAACTCCACTAAATCGGTGAGTTGTCATTTAGAATTCCGATTTGACCCGGACTAAAAATTGACTTGCACAATTAAAAGAGTGTGATCTTGCTGTCACTTTTTCTTCTATCTTTAGTGAGTTGTTAGTGATCTTGTTTTAAGGGTGGGAATTGCTTTGACCCCTTTCCGGTCAATAATACCTATCATAAGTCATAAACTATATCTATATTTTTAAATAATAAAAACTAATAGTATAATGGGTAAATTAGGGTAACTTCTGAGGTAAAGTTAAATTATAAAAATCTCTGAAGTAAAGTCAAATTATGAAAACTATCTCCAGTTTGGTAATTACAGCTAACCATCAATTATAAATCTTCTTACACATCCGTCTTATGGTGTCAAATTCAATATAATCTTCTAGATTCTGTGGAATGTTCTTTAGTTTGTCCTTGTTTTGTGCAAAAGTGCAGTTTCTGATGAATCACAATATGATATTTACAAGCTAAAGACACATCTTAGGATCATGTTGTTTCAAAATGTGGAGCTCGAATGTATTAAAATGGGTCCTTCAAAAAAAAAGAATGTATTAAAATGGGTACAAACTGGTGAATATTCCACATAATCTAGAAGATTCTACTAAATTTAACACCGTAAAAGTGGACGTCTAAGATAATTTATAGTACTTGAAAGGTTGGTTGTAATTATCTAAACATGCAGAGGATTTTCATAATTTAACTATATCTTAGAAGAAGAATCGTAGTTTACCCATAATATAATTTATGTAACGTGATACAAGTCTCGAATGAAGAGTCATAAGATAGTCAATCAAAAGTCCATAGAGAAAATTAACAAATAATAAATAAAACTCTTCTATTTTTCAGTCTCAAATCAAGTGGAGACTTCCAAATTCAAGTTTTTTGTCACGGAAGTGTGTCATTCAATATTAATATATCTGGACATTCTCTGTAATGCTGACAAATAAAATTTAAAATGTTTAAAATGAGTTGTGATGGGATTTGATCTCGAAATATTATTGAAATGTATCATTTAATATTAATATAAATGAATGATAGTGGAATTCGAACTTAACACATTTCTTTAGTTTGACTTTAATACTATATTGAATGACCACCTTAATAAAAAATTTAAACTAACAAAATGTATTATTTACTATTAATACCTATAAACTGTAATTTACCCATTATTCCAATTTGTATGCAAAAATAAACCTAACAATACCCAATAAATCTATTGCAGGAAACCAAAATTAACATATTGATGTCAATTATTGAACCATGTTGGATAAGTTTTGAGCTTTGACATAAAATGAAAAAAAAAATATTAAAAATATATATACATGACTAGGGGGTTGGGGGGGGGGGGGGGGGACAAAAACACGTATTAAATTTGGGGGCCGGGCACGTATTTGGAAGGGGGCTAAAATTGAGCTGGCATTTCTTGGATTTTGTTTTTTCCCATGATTATGGACTTTTGTAAGCCACGTGTCCCAAAATGGCTGTATTGAATTATCGTCCACGGGGACTAGTCTTCTCTCTGCACTCTGCAAAAACACACACACACACACCCCTTCACTGGGGGAGTTTTTTTTTTTTTTTAATTAATTAATTCATTTACCCCCCCTCTCAAAAAAGTGACATTTCCTGCAAAAATATTATTTACATAAAATTTTTGGCTGTTTTCCGTTTTGACAACCCGGATTAATTTTTGCCCCCAAAATGTATGAATTTTTATCCATTTAATTATATTTCAAATTATCGTTCCCTTAAAAATTAAGTGTGTATATATGTTATTAAATTTCTACAATAATTAAATATATAATGAAGAAATATGAATTAAGAATTATAAAATAGATAGTACCTTTATGAAAGTTTTACACCTCCATTTATGTATTATTTCAACATTAAGAAAATAAGAATTACAACGAAGTATTTATAATAATTTTTATCATTAAAAGAATCGGTTGGCATATAAATCTCTACTAATCGACTTTTCAGTACACTGAAAATCATAGACCGATACATTTATATATATATTGGTCAGTTAAAATAATCGGCCCAACTTATCAGCAGAAATAAAAATAGATTGAAACTAGGTCGGTTGGCCGATAAAACTGACTAGTGCTCGGCCACAAGAATTCTTGAATGCAGACATGGAGATCATGTGAATAAACAATTACAATAAACTGTTAACGATAATAAATCCAGCTATACTAGCTCAGTTTAATTCACGTGCAGAAAAACTGGAATTTATTTAAATATTTATAAAAACATTAATTAATAATATACAAAATGGCAAAAATAGTAAAATAATTAATTAATTACATAACATAAAAGTTGAAAGTACTATATAAAATATGAAGAAACAGAAAAATTATGGCTGGGGAGTAAATAATTGAGGCCTTTGATATCAGACAAGATAAAACAGTGGTAGTTAATGACGTCATTGGGTGACCCATTTTACATAAACCCTAATTAAACATGGTCCTTGTTACATGCAGGATTTAACTAATTAGTATTTAAATTAACGATGATGATTAATTACCGGACAAGAAAGCACTATTAATCAAATTTTTTTAGGTAAATTAGCATGTGACATGTGTCGAATTGTCTGTCCGAACACATCATCTAAATTTATTTGTTAATAAGAAAAAAAAATTTATATATACCAGAATTACTCATAACCGATTGAAAAGCCAATTCAAGTCCAATTTTATAATTTAGCCTTAATTTCACAAATTAATCGAACTTATTTAATTTGTGCTAATTGTTGGTTGGTGAATAATATATTTTGATTTATATAAATAATATATGCCCAAAAGATCGAATAGTGTTGTCATCTTTTGGTGAAAAGTGGCATCAATATCGTATCATAGTGTAAAAGAAAAAAGACAAAATAAATAAATAAATAATTCGAATAAAAAGGAATGGGAATTAATTGTCCCTTGTGGATAAGAACAAATTCAAAGGTTTTTTTTTCCCATGATAAATCCCTTTCCAATATCATACACAATCAGGGGTGGAGTCAGGGCAAAGGGGGCCACGACCCCCTCTTTTTATATAAAACTATAAAGATTTAAGGTCCCTCCTTATAAAAATTTTAATTGCATTTGGCACCCGCGGATTTTAAATCTGTACACAATCATCCATTTATTTAATTTTATATGTATATATATAAAGCTTTCATGCATATGATGCATGCATGCATGCATGGTGCATTTTTAAGGAACAGTGTCAAAGTGTCAATTTAGACTATGGTATATAAACTATAGTGTTCATATATATATATATATATATATATATATATATATATATATATATATATATATATATATATATATATATTTTAATATGGTTCACTTAATTAGCAAAATACATCTATTATTCTATTTAGCACAGACGAAAACAGCAATACCGAGAAACGGATACGGGAAACGGTTAATTGACTACTTGAGTATTATTTAGTAAACCTTCCTCATTTTGCATACCAAATTATTTTAATATTCGAAAAACAAAAAAGAAAAAGGAAACGTCAAAATCGACCGGTTGGTCGAGCAGAAAGAGTTTGTATCCTAAATAGGTCACTGGCGCAGATCTAAAGAGCGAAGAAGAGAACACAAATTTTCGTGCATATTTGAACTATTTACACTAAAAGCCCGACATACTTAACGAGTCCACAGATAAACTACCCTTCTACGCTGATAATCAAGATGAATTAATTTAACCGAAAACGTTGAAAAAAAATAATTCAACTTTGGGATTTCCGGAAGTACCCTTTTCAACATTTCTACCTTTTGTTTTCAATCATAAAATCTTTAAATTGAAGAAAATCAACAATTAATCTCTCTCGGTAAAAAAAACAAAAACACAGTAAAGGCACAAACACGAAACTTCAGTCTACGAAACTAGGGAGAAAAATTGATGGCACAACAAGCACAACTAGTAAACTCAATCAACTGCATTAAATATCAATCGGGAAGCAATAAATGATTTAGGCACCAAGAAAAATGACGGCATCTTGCTTGTCCACTTCTACTGGCCGCGATTTCTTCGGCTTTCTGCATTCCTTACCGGGTAAAAATACGGGTGTGCCTATGCAAGTTAAACCATTTATCAGCCGTCAAAAAAAAATTAAAAAATATATATATGTATCTCGTATAAATGTCGGGGTAAGAGAAGCATAATTTTGTTGAATATTTCATTTATCAGGTACTTTTTGAAAAATCGAAAAACACCGGTGTATTTCCAATTATTCAGAACCCCCTCACGGAAAATAAAATAACATAAAATAAAAGGGGCAAAAGAATGCAAGTCAGTAACCAATGGAGTAATAAATACCATTGCTTCCTTTGCAGTCGGTCTTTCTTGATGATCATATCGCAATAATTTGTCAACAAAATCAACGGCCTTCAGAAGATAAAAGCAAAAATTATCAGTCCAAAATATTCAAAAGAATCTTCATCTTATTATAATTTTTATGTCCCCGATCGCCATATATATAGCAATTACAGCTTACCTCGGGAAGTGCCAAATGTTGATTATCAGCATTAATAAACTTTGTCCATGGTTTTCTGCTATGCCTACATTGACACACCAGCAAAATATTCGTATCTTACAATATAACAAATACTATAAGAGAGAGAGAGAGAGAGAGAGAGAGAAGAGAGAGAAATTTTGTGTAGTTTACCTTCCAACTAGGGCAACAAGATGTTGGTCCAATTCCAGACGGTACTTGTTCAAGTAAGTGTACAGCTCATCGGTTCCTAACACCTGTCATTCATCATAATTTATATAACTTTACTTCAACCCAAAAAGGAAAAGAAAAAACCAGAAGTAGCACACAATTTCAATCCAAGAAAACTTGAAAAAAGGTATTCCTGAAGACTAAAGGTCCAACATACCTTCGCAATCTTGACTAGTTGATCGTAATTGTCATGTCCGTAAAAAAATGGCTCCTTGCGAAATATCTGTAAAGCACGCACAAGCCCTTGTAAGCATCAATGAGGAAGTACAACCATACATAGCGCAGGGGTAGGGTGGGTGAGGGGATTTGGGGGTGAGGGTGGGGTTGGGGGTCAAACTCTTAACCTCATCATCTGTGTAATCCATGGATCACAGGCAAGCGGATCAAAATCCACTGATCTATGGCTTCACAAAGAGAAAATGTATCATACATTAGGATATTTGTGGAACTACACTAAATAGTCTTCTGCACCCTTTGAAAAATGAACCCATGTTCTGGTTTTTTAAAATTATTCAACAGGGCAACACTTAACATGCAATTTTATTAGAAAGGAGACATACCAAATGATACGTCCAGGTCAAGTTTATTATGTACTAACAAGTCTAACAAAAAACATGTGTCACAAAACCAATTTTTTGGAGCTGCGAGGAAGGAAAAGCATACCATTCCAGCAAACATACAGCCCAGGCTCCATAAGTCCAAGGAGTAATCATAGTCTTGCAAATCAACGAGAAGTTCAGGTCCCTTGAAATACCTGCACAGAAACAAACATAACCAGTCAGGTGCCATAATTGATGATGCTTCTAACTATCAAGAACTTGGATCAAATAACCATGAGAGTATAATCAACTACTAACAAATTACACATGATCGATACTGTAAAATAAATTAATAGTGGGGCCACATAAAGTGTTAAATATGTGAAATTGCTAACTGGGCAAAAATTCAGAGATATGGGTACTTCATAATTATCTGGTGTTTCTTTAGAAAAAGTCTTTGCAGGTCTCAAGTAACTTAAATAATTATGTTCTTCCTTTCAAGAAAGCATGTATTCAATAGATCATATTGAATTGATGTAAAAACATTTTACATATCTTTTTTATTTACTAAGCAAGACTAAGAATCATCCATTTCGGAGCTCATATTCGATAGCCCTCAAAAAGAGATAACAGTGGAGATACTATATTTGTTGATGTAAAAAATTATTTCATCCCGCTATTTGTAAAATTTCAGAAAGACGTTGTATTTCCACTTTCAACGGAAGCCTTACAGTACAATATGCATAAAATGCTATCAGGTAGAGAACCTATAATGAACAAAGTAGGCAGACAAAAGGATAAAAGGAAAGATGGCAAACCTAGAAGCAACACGGACATTATATTCCTTCCCAGGATGGTAGAACTCAGCAAGTCCCCAGTCTATTAGGCGAAGTTTACGCTGCTCGTGATCTATCATGACATTGTGGGGCTTCACATCCCGATGCATGATACCTTGAGAATGACAATAGTCTAAAGCCTACAAGAAAAACAAGTAGAAAACTTAATATTTTCTGAACCAGAATAAAGATAGCTCAATATTACAGCAGACTGTGAAGTTAGAAAAAGAAGACTTGCCTTCAAAAGTTCATAGATGTAATATCTAATATCAAAGTCGGATAGTGTCGGATATAGCACTTTGAAGTCTGTATTGTTCACATGTTCAAATATAAGACTTGGGGTCTTTGATTGTTGATCTCTTACGATATCAAGCAACTTCACAATATTTGGCCCACCACAGAGATTCTGTAAAATCTTGATCTCTCTCTTGATCTGCACAGGGATAGCAACACGGATCATAAGTCCATAAATAATTGGAGGGGAGACGAAAAAAGACCTAGAACATAGTCCGCCTTTTATGTTTTAACATAAATGAATTGTTGTGTTACCGGAGAGTTATCACAACATTTTACTTTTATTTTTTAAGGCTTCAAAACTTCTGCATAACCTGCTTATATCGCTAATAAGACAGCGCAAGTATGGACTTTACTGCGATACAGATGGAGAGAGTGATAAGGGATGCACATTCATTATGACTACGACGTAGAAAACCAGCACTGCGGGATCATTGACTCATAAGAACTAGTAGCATAATTTACATAATTCAGAAGCAAATTTGATGCGGAAAGACCCATATGAGATGCTTTCACATATATCTTCTTACTAATACAATTTTACAGAAGCAAAGAAGTTATTACAAGAAAATCAGCCCACGGTGTATGACCCAGCAAAGCTTTGTGAAAATCGGTTTTCTGTTTTCTACTCAAACAGAAACTCCAAAACAGAAGAAAGGTGATACAAGAAAGGAAAAAAGGATCAGCATAATCTAGAGCAGATTTAGGAGCTGAATTGCTCAATTTGGGGTTATGAATATATTTTAACACACGAAGAAAATATCTTTCAATTCCATGATGATCGTAGGGCGTTGAGTGTTGACATCTTGTAAAAAAAATCTGCTCCTCCAAATTAACCACATAATGCGAGGAACTGGTTAATGATCCTTTACATCATTATATACTTAAAAGTAAACCTCACAAGTGGTTTAATATAAAATGCAGACAATGAAGGAATTTTTAATACAAGAAAGAATTCCACTAGTACTTAACAGTACTGAGTGACAGTATTTACCAAAGTGTCTACAAACAAAGAGTTGGTATTTTTTTTGTTTAATCAATATAAAATTATAATGTTTACTTAGTGTTCAACATTTTGACAAATTCTCTCCTGCATTTTAATTTTTTGTCTTATTTTTTTCTTCTTTTTGCTGACTATGTCTTCCTTGACTTCTTTTAATACTTCTTTATTCCCTTCATTCTTTTCTAATTCTTTGACAGTATGCTTTCATGAGGATACATATACAAACCTTTGTATACCCCAGAACAACAAACGCAGAAGGACCTCTTTTATCTTATTAATACATAGAAAAAATCCTTCCACACAGTAACAAAAATGTTTTAATTCCATTTATGTTTTCCTGAGAATACATAGAAGAACCTCTTTATCTCCCAGAACAATGAATGCAGAACCTCGTTTATCTTATTGATGCATAGAAAAATGTCTTCCATACAGCAACACAGATAACTTGTTAGCATAGAAAAATGTCTTCCATACAGCAACACAGATAACATGTTTTCCTATATGATTTTTCCCACCTCTTAACGACTAGGGTGGAAATGCAAAAGAAGACATTACAAATGTTCACTAACATACAAATTACAATAGCAGATAATTTCATTTCAACTAAGGCTACTTACATATGATGTGTGTCAAAATACTAAAGCAACATGAAACATTTAAATATAAAATATAGTCGAACCGAATTTCCTATGACATTAAAGAATTTTTTTTTATTTAACGTGCATGTACCGGTATACTACATCTTAAAATTTTTATTACAATTGAACAATGCACAAAGAGATTACAGATAAGGTTCCCAATCAAAACCGGTTACCAGCTCTCTCATTCTAAACCCATAGCGCCAACAAAGGAAAACAGGGAACAAGAAATTAAATGATAGACAAAACATCAGCCGAAAAAACAAGGTAAAGAAGAAAGAAGATACCTTTTTCTTCTTGACAGGTTTGAGGATCTTGATAACACACTTTTCGTTATTGGTGGTGTGAAGACCCTCAAAAACCTCGCTATATTTTCCCCTACCCACCTTCCTCACGACCTCATAATCATCTTGCTCTCTGTCACAACCAAATCAAAAAAATCAATTCAATTAACCAGAATCAAAAAATTAAAATTGAAAAAAAAATGAATCAATTGAATGCCCTAATTGAATACCCCCATTGAACAGTGAGAGACTCGTAGTCCCAATACTCCTTAGGTCGGATAACATTGACGTCGGCGTAGACCTTCGCCTTCGACGGAGCTCCCGGCCGCCTGATAGCTTTTCCGATCTTCTGCGACATGGTGAGGGGCGCCGACACGGTGGATTCGAGGCTGACGGTGGTTGACAGCTGCGGCGGCGGCGGCGGCGGCGGCTTTTCTCTCTGGTGGTAGCTGTTTATCCTTCGCTGCGGTTGCTGAGAGAGGGAGAGGGCCGGCCGGAAGGAGATGCGGCGGAGGAAAGAGGTCGGAAGAGAGCGGTGGTGGAGAGAGAGTATGAATTGGAGAGGCCTTACGGCCATCAAATGTAAGGGTTATTAATAATTTGTGTTCTTTCACTTGGTTTTAGTGCTTTAGGGGAAATAAAGCCCAAATTGGGGAACCCTTTCTTCCTACGACGTCGTTTCAACATACTGGATTTTCTTTTCTTTTTCTTTTTCTTTTTCCTTTTTCTATTTATTTATTATAAGTGGGCTTTTTTTCTTTTTAGAGATAAAAAGTGGCTTTTAAATTTGGGTAAATTCTACTTCCCTCCCTTGTACTTTTGTTCAGAATCACTTTACCGCCTTCTACTCTCGATTGTATCGATTTGCCCCCGCACAGCTGCACTTGAAAAATAATGTGGTCATCGATCGCCATTAGTTTTTAGACATTTAACCTTAACACCGGTTGGTCTAAGCTTGAAAATTACAAAAAAGACACCCCTCCCAATTTAAATAATTATAGAAAATTTTAAAAAAATAAAAATTAAATTATGCATGTCGTCGTGGACTATGATTTCTCATTGTCTTATTTTGTTTATTTTTTAATTTTTTTGTTTTTTTAAATAAATAATATTATTTAAACTGGGAGGGATGGTGTTTTTGTAATTTCAGATCTTAGACCAAACGTTGTCAAGATCAAGTGTCTGAAACTAACAACGATAGCCACAATGAGACAAGTTTTCCAGTGCAGGGGACAAATCGATACATCGATATTAGAAGGAGGTAAAGTGATACCGAACCAAAGTAAAGGAGAAAAGTGGAACTTGCCCTTTAAATTTTATATTAGAATAAATAATTTTTATTTTTGTTGTGGTTTATAAAATATTCTGAGCAAATAATGGTTACAAGTCTTGAAATTTAATAATTAAATTTGGATTAATTATTAATAGACTGATAATACTGCACATAATGAGTTTTAGTTGCATAAAATCTGGTACATAATAAGTTTGTTCACATTTATTTATTTAATTTATGTAAATAGACTAGACATATATCAGATTGAAGCAGAGGGGTTTTTGGTAATAGGCAAATTTCCATCATAGGTGCACTGTGGGAGCACTGGATTATTCCTCACAAGCCTTGGTCCTGTGGGCACACTCCCGATTTTCGGACGAATATCCTGCTCGTCGATAAATTTCATAAAAAAATTTATTTAAATAAAAATTAAAGGAGAATAGTTACTGATTTCTCAAATTCCCAATGGATATTGAAAATATGGCTTTATCGGTATAAATCTAATTCGTACAAGTACCTGATCAAATATAGCAATTGGAATGGCAAGTGTGGCAACGGCATTGGGCGAATCCACTATACCCGAAATCCTTCCTTCGCACGGGCAACACGAGAGTAGAAGATAAACCTAATTCACCGTTACAAGTTAGAAAATTTCGAGAGTGAATAAAATAGAGAGACAACAGTGAGGGAGCCAGCATAAGACTGTTGTGGGGGCAATCGCCCCCACATCTTCTGAAAATAAATTATAGTATACGTGTTATTTTTTTCGAGAAGACCTGTTCTTTAGAGTATCCGAATCTAGAGAGATAGTCGATCGCATTGAGAACTGCGCGCTTGTATGCCACGCTGGCGTCGAGGTAGTGTTGTCGTCCACTCTCGTCGACACTGATGCCCTCGAAAACCAACCACTCCGAGAATCTCGGCTCGACGGGACCTATCTCAAAGATTGGGTTCACGTGTAAACGAGTGGGACCCATTGGAGTCAAGTACTTCTTCATGCCATCCCTTATTATCTCACACCTGAGTACAAACTAACTACTAACTTTTACATTCTAAATAAGTTTATATGTCTTTGATCAAACAAGATAAAATTAAACAATAAAAAAATTCAAATGTATTATTGAACAGTGGAAGGTCCAATAAATAATCTTCTTCTATTGAACACTGAAAGATAAGATAGACCATGATTAAATAATATTTTTGAGACGACCCAAAAAATCATTTAATTAATCATAGCTAATATGTTCAACTAAAAGGAGGCATAAGGAGATAACATTCGAACTTACTTGAGCTCGAGAAAACCGCTCATCTCAATGGCCCCACAAAACGCCACTTCACCATCACCTTGCGAGAAATGCATATCCCCAGTACTAAGATTCGCCCCGTCAACAAATACGGGAAGGTACACTTTTGAGCCTCTGCTTAGATTCTTGATGTCGCAGTTTCCTCCATTTTCTCTTCCGGGTATAGTTCTCGCAGCCTCCCTCGCAACTTTTTCCCATTCAAGACTTCCTTCTTTAATCTACAAACATCTTGAGTCATTACAAAGATCATTAAATAACTGTTTGTAATTCGTTTCGGTGTGTACCTTGCCAAGAACGCAACCCTTGGTTGATGGGAGATTCGCCAAGGGCCGTGAATGCAAAACCTCGCATAGCTTTAGTGTTTGAAGACCGGTTTCTTCGAGTTCCCTTTCCCTCTCGTTCCATATATTGAGTAGTTCCATCGAAGGCGCGGTTCCAACTATTCCGGGGTGCGTCAATCCCGGAAATCTCACACCTATATCGACATTGTCGTGATTAAGCATGAATCAAGAACATGAAAATCGAGAATAAATAGTCAACGCAACATTGAAATTCTAATTAAAGGGACAGATAATACAGATCGAGAAACTGACTGTTAATCTGAAATCAAGAGAGTAAAGTTCTACCAGGTATATGAGGAGAATACGCGTATATTCCTTCAAAATACCAAATAGCTTTGGTAGCACAAGGGAAATGGTCGGTGAGGAATCCACCACCATTTTCCCTATCGAAAATCGCAGTGAAACCCCATTCGTCTCCGGGCAAAGGACCCAAATTGCATATCTCAACCGCCAAAAGATCACCGGGCCGGGCCGGGTTTCCATCGGTATCAACCACTCTAATGGGCCCACTAAGATAATGAACCTGTCAAAACATACACATTGACACATCATACTATATATGTTTACTAGCTAGTTTCATATAATTGAGAAAAAAAAAATTAAAATTCAATCAATTTTAAATCCTAAGCTCGTATTTTGAGTTATTTTTCGAGTTATTCGGGCTTTAGATATATAACTAAGATTATTGATTTTTTATTTTTTATTTTTGTTATTATAGTTTGTTTGTGGTGGAATTAAGTGAGAATGGTTAAATTTTGATATGTACTAGAAAAGTTTTGTACTTACAATTGATAGGTCTAAGGTTTTTACATCAAGTGCAGAATGGTCATCTGAAATGGTGCCACCTGTCCAATCCACCATCTCCACCCTGAATAGTTCGCCGGTTTTTACCTCCGCCACCGCCGGAATGTCGGGGTGCCACCGGTTGTGGAGCGGCGGATTCTGCTGCCATGGCTTCTTCTTTAGGTCTACAGGGATTACTAATCTTGGAGTTGAAGGGGCCATGATTTCTTGATTTTTTTGGGATTTCTTTTATTTATTTATTTATTTGTTATTATTATTATTATTATTTAATTTTTATTTTTTGTGAATGAATTTCTACGATGAAAATTATGAAACTAAAGAAGAAAATATTGGGTGAATTAATTTGGAATTGATGATTTAGACAAGCTGACAAATGGTCCCCTAATCATTTGTCAATGATGTTGGAAATTTCTATGCGGGTTAAATACAGTTTGCACCCCCTAAAGTATACCCTCTATAACACTTACCCCTTAAAGTATCATTTGTAACACTTACCCCCTCAAGCACACTTTAATTTGTATTTTAAATTTTAATACCTTAAAAAATTATTTTATTGAACGAAATAATTAAAAAGATAATTAAATTATACAACAAAAAATATTTGTTGAAAAATACAATATTTAAAAATTTAAAAATATAATCTTGCGTTGGATATTTATTCAATAAATAACATCTAATTGTTGTTGGACCAATTAATGAAAAATACTCTATCGATAAATTTTAAGAAATCAATACATAAGTAATAGAAATCTTAAGTATTTAAATTTATTTTAGTTCATTAATTTTTTTAAATATATTTTCCTTCATTGTTACCCAATATAGATTACTTTTTAATCTTTTTTCAATAATTAATTTTAGTTACTTTTCAATTTTCTATGAACCGTTAATTATTAGATTGTTATGTTTATTATTTTTTAAATTTTAAAATATAAAATAATTAATGTTGAGGGGGGTAAGTGTTACAAATGATAGTTTAAGGAGGTAAGTGTTACATGAGCTATACTTCAGGGGTGCAAAGTGTATTTAGCCCTTTCTATGGTGTAGTTGTCGGAAGATAATGATGATTTTTTGGGAATCTTAAATTTAAAATTATGTTTGTGGAAAAAATAAATTGTTATTTGCAAGTATTACAAAATTAATGGATGAAGATTGTGAATTAATTGAAAAAGTTTTATCCTTTTTTTTTTTTAATAACGAAGAATTCGCAGTCAAACATATAGGTGCAGTGGGTAAATCTACATTTTCATATAATAGTTTGCAAACTATACGAGAAACGTAAACCAAACTAGGCTAATCATATGTGACAAACTTGTCAAACATACAGGTGCAGTGGGTAAACCTACATTTTCGTATAATAGTTTGCAAACTATACGAGAAATGTAAACCTAACTAGGCTAATCATATGTGACAAACTTGATCTAACGACCGTTTTCGACATGATTCAAACTTGAATCAATAAATATTTAATTTAATATTTAATTTTAAATAGTAAACTATAAAAAATATTAATCATTTTGAAATTGAAAAATAAAAATGGGCAATTTTAAATAGACAGAAACTGGGCCCAGTTGAGAGGAAAGTTTTGGAGTTAACAAAACAAACAATAAGCCCAGTAAGAAAAAAGTGAGCTGGTCACGTGACAAAGAACATAGTGACCAAAATTATTTCAAAAATATATCTGAGGTTAATATTTAATTATTATATCTTTCATTCGTAGTAAATAGTTTATAAGTTTAATTTGAATTCTTAATATTTTTTTTCAGTATATCTGAAAATTCAAAGCTCTAATCACCTATGAAGGAAGATAATATTTTGTTGAACTTAGGTTGAAAATAATCTAACTATAATTTTTTTTATATACATAATTTGCCATTAAAATATTGGAAATTGGACCACAATTAATTGATCATCTGCCTCAAAATATATGTGAATGAAAAGGGACTAGAAAACTCACAATAGAATTATCTGCAAACTTGACATCTTCGGCGGTGTATTCTTTTGTTATTCCGCCGCCGCTGAAATCGACCATCTCAACCCTGAAAAGTTCGCCGGTGCGTACTTCCGCCACCGGAGGTATGGCGGGGTGCCACCGGTTGTGGAGAGGAAGCTTCTGCTCCGATGGCTTCTTCTTCACATCTATCGGCACCACCACTCTACCACCTAATTGAGAACTCATTATTGAAATTTAATTTGATTTAATTATTCTCTCTTTTGAGTCAAAAAATGGCACTCACACTCACTCATTCATATTTTTTGTAGGAATCATTTACATTATGAAAAAGTATATCAGTATTGTTGATGTAACTATATATATCTCTACTATTGATGTCAATAGATACCTCTATGGCCATGGGTCGGGTCGGACAATTATCGGTCAATTACCTATTTGATCCGACCTAATTATTACGGGTCGGATAATAGTTGGCAACCGACTCTATCGGATAAATAAATGATCGATTGATTGGTATTATCGGCCATCTATTTATTGTTTTTTTTTTAATTTTTATTTTACAATAACAGATATTTTTAAAAAGTTTTTTCAAAAGTTTTTCAAAATTTTGGGAAATATCTTGCAAAAATCTTAACTTTAAAACTAATATATGTTTTTTATTTTTTACTAAATTTCTACAATAAATAAATATATAAATTTATGTTTTGAGTCTTTTATATATTATTTTAACATTAAGAGAATAAGATAACAATTAAAAAATTAGAATACATTTTTGTTATTAAAAAGTCAGTTGATCGATATTATCCGATGAATTGACTTTTGAGTAAACTGGAAACCATTGACCAACCCTTTTATATCCGGACCGGTTAAAATTACTAACCCGACTATATGAGTCGGATAATTATCAATTATCGGTCAAGAAAAGTGGGTCAAAAGTGTATCAGTTGGCCAATATTACCTGACCAACCGACTTCTAGGTAAACTGAAAACCAAAAACCGACCCATTTATATATGGGTCAATTAAAATTAGTAGTCCTACTACATAAGTCGGTTAATTATCGTTATCAACCAAGAAAAGTGCATCGAAAATGGGCCGGTTAAAACAAACAACAACCTTTTTGCCATGAAATGTGCTAAATCTTGATTACTTAAATAAATGGGCCTTTAATGGGTTAAGGAGCTCTACAGGCGTTACCATGAAAAATAAAGTATATAGATGTTATATTATTATATACACAGTAGTTGCACAAAATAGTTTTCAATAGGGCTGCAAAATCAGCCCATTTTAAATTGGGTGTGACAACTTTTTCCGAGTTGAGTTGAAGCTCTTTTTGTATTTTTTTATATTTTTATTATATAAGTTATTTATATATTAATAAAAATTATAAATAAAAATGGATAGGGACTTAAATTTTAATTTCTTTTATATGTATTCATTACATTATTTAATTTTATATTATTTATATAACCCGATTAAAATTCACCGTGAGTGTATAATTTGGGAGAAAGAACTGGGAAAAATGTTAATTTTAATTTCGGAAGACAAAAATAATTGTAAATATCACCATATAAAAAAACAATTTATGACTGGGCCATAGTAAATCTATTAAGATCCATCTCAAATACTATCCGTCAATTTTAAAGGGCAAGTGGGGTGGGGTGTGGGGGGTGGGGTGGGTGTGGGGGTAGGGGTTGGATGGAGTGGAGTGGGGTGGGGGTTGTGAAATTACCAAAAAAAATATGCATACTGTGGAAGAGCTAGGCCGTAGGATAAGGACGCCACGTCAGCCCCATAGCAACCAGAAAACGACATTCCATTGTGTCGTTTCTTCGCATAGAGCGGTAAAAAATGAAAGTAAAATTAGTTTTATTTTTGACCCCTTAAGAAATTTTGACTGCGGGTAATTTTAGAAATTAACCAAAATGGCTGGTAAATATAACCGACCCTTTATGGGTGATGCAGTCTGTAGGTTGGGGTGGTGGTCGGGTTTCGGGTTGTTCGGTTATGGAATCCGAATTTATTTGGAGCAAAAACATCACTTGAAACTGAACCAAAATCGGACCATAAATTGTTAATTATCTTTCGTCTTTGTTTTACTTCAAATTAACGACATAACAGTAAAGAACTAACTCGAGGTTTATGAAAATAAACCTCTCCAACGCTCAAACCAGCGTTATATCATAAAGTAAATAAACTTTATATCATAAAGTAAATAAGTTCTCATGCAGGAATGTATCCTAACTTAATGGATGAAGTAGATAACAATTTAGAGACTCATTCGATCCATCCAAATAGATCTTATCAATAATCATGAATATAATGTTTGTTCTCGTTGTTTCGGATTTGAACTTCATCGGTGTTGGTTTTACCGTGTTATTTGATTAATCATGCAGAAAAAAAATCCTATTAGTATTCAACTATATGAACAAATTATTATTATAATTATTTTTGAATTATTGGATTGAAATATGATTTTTTTATTTATTTAAAATCTTATAATCAGTAAAAACAAATTATAAGATCATTATCTAAACACTTTAAAAATTATTTTTTTAAATTAGACCTAACAACTTATTAACTCTTAAAACAACTTGTCAAGTGTAAGAGCTAATCAGCTGTTTAAACAAGCTTAAAATGTGCCCATATTTTAATTAAATAATATTTTTTAAAACTAAAATGTCATTGTTTATTAATAAGAGAGTATTGGAGACAATTAGTAATAGTAGAACTGAAAATTCTCAAGTGTTAGAAAATATGCGAAAGAACACAATTATAATGGAAAGATCTAGAAGGAAAAAATATATAAAAAATTGTTTGAGTGGGGGAAAATAAAGGGAAAGTGATAGGTTATCAAATATATCCAGAAAACAAAACCCAAAAAGAATCCAACGGTTGAGAGATAGCCATCCGCGGAAACTAGGAGCCGCTCTCGCCCAATACTTTGGAATCTTAACCCAACCACCACCTCCCCTTTTTCTCTCTCCTCTCTCCTCTCTCTCTCTCACACACCACACCCCACTCACCCCCACTAACCCAACCATGGTTAACTACTCCCTAACTTCAACCCCAATCTTCCTCTTCTCCAAGTTTCCACTTCCCCCCTTTATATATTACCCCCCCACCTCCCATCATTTCAACCCTAATTCCCACTCTCTCTCTCTCCTCCCTTCTTTCTCTCTCTAGAAGTTCATAAATATTCTTGGACACAAATTATTTTAGAAGCTATAATTTAATTCACATTTAATTTGAGTTCTTGTTTGACCTGATATTATATATCATAATCACTCTCCGAAAACAACGGGATTATTGTGGTTTGATTAATTTCGTAATTAACAAGAAATGAGTTGCAATGGATGCCGGGTTCTTCGGAAGGGTTGCAGCGACACGTGTATACTTCGGACATGTTTGCAGTGGATCGACAGCGCCGATTCGCAAGGCCACGCCACCGTCTTCGTCGCCAAGTTCTTCGGCCGCGCCGGCCTCATGTCCTTCATCTCCGCCGTGCCGGAAAACCAGAGACCTGGTAATTAATTACTACTACTTTTTTTTTTTCCGATGATCTGATTTTTTGGATACCCCCGAAAACTAAATCGAAACGTTTTTTTTTGTTTACAGCGCTTTTTCAGTCACTGTTGTTTGAAGCCGCCGGAAGAACGGTGAACCCCGTGAACGGCGCCGTCGGGCTTCTGTGGACCGGGAACTGGCACGTATGCCAGACGGCGGTGGAGACCGTGCTCCGCGGCGGCGCGTTGAAGCCGATCCCTGAGCTTCTCGGTGGCGCGTCGGGGGACGACCCCGACGAAGCCTCGGAGTGCACCGACATGTTCCGTCTCCGAGATCCGAGCCCGGTATCCCAGAAACGCCGTCTGTTTTACGGATGAGCCGGCGCCGGCGGTGAAGGTGATGCAGCTGGCCGATCTCTATCTCACACTGACCCCGGGTTTTCAGGGCGGCGGCGGCGGCAAAAAGAGCGTCAGCCCTTTCCCGGCGCAGCGGCGGCGCGGCAGCCCGTCGATGAATTCG